GAAAAAATGACGCATCACACGCCATTTGGCCCGGTTAAGAAGAGAATTTGATTGGTTTTTAATTGTTTGGAGGTTTGATTGGACGCACTTTTAATAGAGGGGGCTAATTGATTTTTTTTGAAAAGATGGGGGCTAATTTGGTAGTTTTCCCAAAATTCTTTTGCTCATGGCAACTTACCAGAGTAAAAGAATTTTCAACATTACAAACATTTTGATGTTCGCTTGTACCTTCAGTTTGCACACTAGTAATAACAAGAGTAGCAGGTCCAAAGAGAGAATGCAAAGTGATTTTGGTTTCTTCATAGGAGGCTGTTGAGTAGGCATAATTTCTTCCATCAAATCAAAATATTGTTTAAAAATCATTACAAAATACTTGATGATATTAAAGTAAATAGCAATTTAGTATGAAGACATTAAATTTTGTATTCAAAAAATATAAAAAAATCACATTGAATTTTGTATTCGAAAAAAAAAATCACATTAAATTTGTATTCATAAAATATAAAAGAATCTCATTAAATTTTGTATTCACAACTTAGAGTGCACTGGGCCAAGGCCCGGTAAGGCCCCCTCATCCGCCCTTGAGATCAGACGAGAATAAAGAATTCATTCAAGTTAAAAACATTCGAATATTAGAACGGCCGCGGTGTAAGAATTCTACGATACCCAAAAAGTACCACACATTTATCCACATGTAAAATCAAAATAATGTAGTTGGGTGATTTAAATGAAAATTAAAAGTGATATGATGTTTGGACCTATCAAATGAATAATAGATAGGGTATACCCCTATTGGATAATCGATACACATATTGTATAAACAGGAGAGATTGAACAAGAATGGAGAAGAAATAATGAAAGTGTATAGAATGAATGCATATTGATTGTATGAGTTGTGGTTTACAAGCCTCCTATATATAGGGTAAATCCGGGTCTGAGCCTATAATATGGGCCTGACAGACCCGGTTACATAAATGGACTGATAGTGTAAAAAGCTAATCTAGAACATCTTAATAATAATAATGTACAATAATATGAATCCGCTAAACGTGCGTGGGCCGCTGTCCAGGCCTAGTAGTCGGCATACCGGGGGGTCGGAGTCCATATACTCCATCAGGAGTCCCCCACTCTCTGAGTCGAGAGTACTCGAGGCGAAAGGGAGTAGTCCAAACTGTATCTGCAACGTTCTTCTGTCTTCGGGTTTCTTCCTCTTCGGCCGGGGGACCACCACCCTTGTCAATGATGGGGAGGTGCCTCGTTAAAAACCTTTACTAGGAAAAAACCCAGTGGGAAAAAATCCCAATAAGGGGAAAAAGAGTACACCTAGCGCCCCCAACATAAAACAAGGAATGTAAGTCTCCTCCGGCATAATCAATCTAGCTCAACTCAACTTCAATCGATTCAGCTCTCGTTCCTGCTCATGCGTGATATTTTCTGCTCATCTAGAAACTCTGACCCCTCAGTCCCCCAGTCCCCACTCTTTGAGGGGAGTGGAGACGATGTGAAGATGAGTAAAGTCATCTTTGTACCTACACATTTAACATACATATAAATTTTTTCTTGGGATTTATGTTCCCGATCGGGAGTTCATCACTTGAAACAAGTGGAGATGTGAATTGTTAATGTAATGATAGAATACTTAGTAGAATGTATGTGTGAGCCATTCGCAAGCAACGGTCGCCACTTGAGGAATGACTAAGACCGGTCTTCGTGCCCGACTTGGTCGGGGCTTTGTTTTCGTGCCCGACTTGGTCGGGGCTTTGTGCCTGATCGTGGTCAGGGCTTTAAATCCTAGTGATGGGTCTCAAGCAACACTCTACTAGGCATTTGATCATAAGTGCGTGACAGTGTGACATTAACCCGACAAAAAATATTGATTAAAATAAATATAAATAATATTAAAATTAAAGAGCACTTATCTTTTGATGGGCTGAAATATTGGGCCAAATGGCCAATTGGGTTGTATCTGTTGCAAAGACCACGACCCAACATTTTTTAGACCGATTCTGGACTAAAGGTTGTCTGCTGGTCCACAAATTTTGAGTGAAGCTAGTTATTAGCTCCATATTTTCTCGGCCACAATGAGAGGTGTGGATCCACGTAGGGATTATTCTAATCCATGTATTTCAATTAATTTAGTGGGTCCACTGAATTATTTTAGAGACCAAATCCTTCTGGCTTTTCATTGGTGAAGCTCGCAGACTAGAAATGGAGGACCCCCATATCACAGGCCGACGGAAATGAAGAGAGGCATCAGCGGTCCAACCCCTGCTTAACAATCCGGAGCTAGAATCCCCATTAATGGCAGTCGGAGACCACCAAACTGCCATTTCGGAACGTTGAGACGCGACGGCGACCGGCGTGGCGCCGGAGCGACCATTGAAAGGCGGCGGCGCGGTAACAAAAGCGACGGAGTTCGTACGCTGGACAGTTCGTCGGTGGCTGCTAGAGAAGGGTAGCGAGGAGGGATAAGGCGCGACAGAAACACGATGGGAGTCCAGGACTTTAGCAATTTGAGGCGAGGTGTGCGTCCACTGCTGCTAAGGTCGCCAGAATCGGACGAGCGTCCTCTTCGGCTTTGCTACTTGGCTGCTTCCTGGTCCAGCCTTGATGGTGCTTGGCCTCTGTGGTCGAAGGTCGTTCCCTTGGATCTGCAGCAAAAGAACCAAATGGAAATCGATGTTGTAGCAGAGCTCGTGCTTGGGGGTCGCTCGTTGTCCATCGACCTTAACTATGCCACCGGCCGCGAGGTTGGCGAAGACCTGGGTTTGCTTCGTCTGACCAATGGCTGTGAGCAGCGAGCGAAGGGACTATATACGAGCTGCCGGCGACCCGAAGCTCCTGATCGTGAGTGATGGTGTCAAGTCAGCAGTGGTATTTCCTTCCCAACAGCCATTAATGGCGGAGATCACAAGATCTAGTTCCAACGAGCACGAGTAGAAGTCGGATGAAATTGTCAGAGACCGTTGTCACTCTATTCCTTTTGATTTGACCAACCCTTGAACGATGGGTATTGGGTAGAGGACCCAAGCCAGATCCTTCTGCTCCGATCAGATTGTTGCTTGCCTCTTTGGATCCTGAGTTACAGATCTGGATCTGTAATTTGCAGCTAAAATTACATGATGATTTTTTGTAGTAGATTCACCGGAGGAAGATGAATTTCTGGATTTTGGGAGGTTTTCTCAATTGATTGCGTTCAAACCTCTCAACGAGAGCACCATTGTTGGATAATCGATACCCATATTGTATAAACATGAGAGATTGAACAAGAATGGAGAAGAAATAATGAAAGTGTATAGAATGAATGAATATTGATTGTATGAGTTGTGGTTTACAAGCCTCCTATATATAGGGAAAATCCGGGTCTGAGCCTCTAATATGGGCCTGACAGACCCGGTTACATAAATGGACTAATAGTGTAAAAAGCTAATCTAGAACATCTTAATAATAATAATGTAAAATAATATGAATCCGCTAAACGTGCGTGGGCCGCTGTCCAGGCCGAGTAGTCGGCATACCGGGGGGGGGTCGGAGTGCATATACTCCATCAACCCCATTTCATAATTGGGTACATAATCTATGTGGCTCCGACATGGCAGGATAAATTGAACGAACAAAACCACTTCGGTGCGCATGGCGTTGTGAGGGTCTATTCGGGTAAATTATATTATACCACCGGTTGTACCATCCGGACGGTACATCCGGCGGTTTTAGTAGTGTGACGTCGTAAGCAAACGCATCCTCTTTCCTTTCTTATTCTGTCTTGTTCCGCACGTTTCTTCTTTTTTCCTTTTTTTGTTTTTTTTCCTTTAACCACTACTTATAATTTTATATTAAATTATTATGAAATGTATAATTTAAAATAGAATATTATTAAGGTCCCGAATTTTTCCCTATTTCAAATCAACCTTATAACCAAGATTTTTCTAATTTGTGTATAATAAAATATTTTATTTGTCAAATACTGAAATGAGCATAGTGTTGAAATTATATGTGCATGAGTAAACATTATAAAAATATTATGATTAGTTTTGTAATTCAAGAATGAAAAAATATAAATTATTTTGATATTATAATTTATTATATTTCTCTTTGTTACGCAAATGAATATTTGAGCGCATCAGACTATCAGAGATTTTAATGAGCTTTTGAATTTTTAATGCTCATTTTTAATGTATACTCATTCGGGACTGCTGTTATGCTCATTTTAAAATGTCATATCAATGCTTATGAAACTAATTAACGCTCAACATAATAAGTATCATGTTCATTAAAAGTATAATAATGTTCATTTAAGAGAAACCATTATTTCCATCTCAATAGAAGAGGTTTGATGCTTAATGAAAATATCGTGATTTTCAACTAACAAACCAACTAACAAATTCAATAGTGCTCATTTTGTTAGTTACGTTTGTTCATCTGATACCAATCTATGCTCATATATTAGACTCCTAATATTCAACGTAATAGACCAGATGCTCATTAAAAGTTCATTAATGCTCATTCACAAGAAACTGTGGTTTTCATCTCAATAGCGGATGTTTGATGCTCAATTAAAATGATGTGATGTTCAACTAACAAAACCTTACGATTTTCATATCAATGTATACTTTGTAATTATGTATGCTCATTTGGTACTGATGTAAAGATCATTTTTACAATGTCACATCAATGCATATTCAAAAGTATCATATTATATTAGACTCACATATTGAAATTAATAAGAGTGAATTATAGATATAATTTAATAAGTTTTTATAAAAGAAAAAATAAGAAAAAGAAAGAGAATTGGAATATATGAAGCAAATATCGCAAAACTCATTGTTAGCCTCCCAATACTCAATAAAACAGGTCAGATGTTCATTAAAATTACACTGTTGCTCATTTAACGAAAGCCGCGATTTTTCGCTTAAATTACAAAATTGCTACCGAAAAACATTGGCGTATATTGATTACTGGGCTTGTATTGATTGTTGGGCTGGTCTTCCTCAATTGGGCCGGGTATACGTACACCCGGTTGGATATTATAGGCTCTCAGGTCGGACGCACGTAGCGAAGAACGCAACACCGCCCGCATCGCCGGACGCCCGAACGCTTACGGCCCTTCGTGCCTCGGCCCGCCGCTGCTGAGTGCTTTTCGGCTGCTTCTAGCCTCCTAGTCTGCTTATCTGGACTCCAGCTAACCTGCTTCTGCTTCTCAGCTTCTGCCTTCTGGGAAGCACCTGGTTTTGGCAATCTGGCTTTCTGCTTCTCTCAGGTAAGTTTTTTTTTTTTTTTTTTTTCTTTTTTTCTTTTTTTTTTTTACATTTAAAGCTGTCATCTTCAGCACTTTTAGCCGAAAAAACTACAACTTTATTTGTTTTAATTGTTATGGAATTAAGCACGAAATTAAAAGTTTCTTTTATTTAAAGAATGACTATGATTGATAAGCTGAAATAAGAATATAAAGAGCCTCGTTTTTTGGGGACTAGAAAGAGCTTCTTTTGGAAAAGAATAGAAAAAGCTTTTAATATAATATTTTGTTGTGCAAATCCGCAGGAAAATACTGAAATCAAAGTAGGCATATGTATTTGAAGTAATATAAAGAGAAGTGAAATAGGTGGAATGGGTGATGATGATGCAAAGAAAGCAAACAAAATTCTCCGATTCTTGCCATTTCAGAGCTTAGTAGATGCAGGTTTTTGGCACAGATTATCTTCGCTCAAGCTCAACCAGTTGGGCCTAGACGATTCACCTATTCCCATCACTGGTATGCTTTAAGCTACTTCTTCAATGGGATCAAATTTCCTCTTTTTCCGTTAATAGTACTCATTGAGATGCTTTCATAGTTTTTTCAGGGAATCTAAGAGTAAAATTGCATGTGTAGATAGGCCAGGAAAAGTTACAAAACTAGGGAAGAGTGGATGAAACATAGGAATGATAATGAAAAAGAAGAATATGCATGCCTTCTGGTTCCTTTGCCAGCAATGGAAAGTAAAACAAGTATTAATAGCTGCATTTAAAACTAAACAGTGAAACTTAGAGTATAATAATACAATGCATAATCAAATTTGACAAAATCTTTGGAGGTGAAATTATGCCTATCTTTTTTGAGGAATAATTTATAGAAGTTACTTCTAAAAGAAATTGCATTGAGCTTGATTTGAGGTTTTCCACTTCCCAAGGACTATACGTTGTGTGCACTTTGTTTCGTTTACTCATCTTAGGGTAATGGGCGAGTTTAGATTTGGATGGAAGCTTTTGGGAGGATGACGACACGTTTTGATCTCTTGGACTAATTTGTGTTTGATTTGTTCGGGTTTTAGTTATAATGCAAATCGTTGCAACTTTGATATCTTCCGTTTAGGTGTAATTTGTTTGAGTATTGTATGGTCTGGCACTCTGGCATGTTTAGGTACAATACATTTTTTTGGGATTGAAATATGTTGAAGAGAACTTGCTCTTGGTCAATGTGCAATATCTTTACACAATTTTTGTTATTCAATAAAAAGTTGAAGGAGAATGACAATAGGTGATCATATAACATTTTAATAGAAAGTATTTCTTTTTAGAAACAATAAAACCACAAAATCTAGAATATGTCTCTAAGTACGGGTTGGGGAATGGGGAATATGAGATGTATGTAGATTAGGGACTGTTTCCATTGAGTCTCACAACAAGCATCAAAGGTATTGTGAGTATTGTGAAAAATAAGGGGTAAAACATTGGATAAGCAAGTAAATGAATAGGAAAATAATCACACAAAACAAAAAAGCACGTAAACAAGCTGACAAAATAACCTGTGGAGCTAATCATGACTCACCTCACATTTGACCAAATCCCCTACAAGGACCTCGCTACATTTATACGACATCTCTATGAACCAAAAAAACTCTAAGGACTTAATTACTCTTCAACATTCTCTGTAATCTATCATTCCTCCTCACTCTTAGACCAATACCCTGTCCACCCTCCTCATCTGTGATATCGGTCTATTTATCAAAACAAATAATGTCTTATATAGTTATATATGACTAGAAGAAAGATGGCGAATAAAAATGTGACATTTTACGAAAATGTGACTATATTAGTAACTTTTAGTGACTCTGATTATGCTGAACTTTACACTGTAGCGACCATGATGTTATACTCAATAACTTTAGTCACATATTCGTCCATAAATTTTATTTAAGTAACCCTTTAGGAAACCCCTTATCAAAATTTAGTCATATCCCTCCAACCCTTCACACCCCCCCTCCAAAACCCGCCATCCAAAATTGAACCCTTAAGGCTCCTGTCATGATGTCGTGTGCTTCTTCAGTTTCTTCTCTTTCTCCTTGTTATCTAAATTGGTATGTGGGTTTGATAGACCAATTGGGCTGATTTTATTTCAGGTTTTTATGCACCTTGCTCACACCATCAGGTTTCTAATCACTTGACACTTCTTGCTGAATCATTGCCGCATGAGCATGGAGAAAACATGTTCTCGTCACATTTGAAAAGTCAGGGGAATAGAAATCGCTGTCCTATACCTGGCACCCTTTACAACACAAACACGTTGGAGGCCTTCCGCGCTCTTGATAAGCAATCCCTAATAAAGACAGAAGCAAAAAAGGTGAATTCAGTTATTTAGATGTGAACTTTGCTTCTTTGGCCATGTTTAGTAATTAGTACTCCCTTCGTCCCTAAGTAATTTGATTTTTAACAAAAGATTAACCCAAAGTAACATTTTTCATTATAGGAATTCAATGCATATTTTTACTTCCAAATTTTCCCATACTAACTTTTTTACTTCAAATTTACTGCATTAAAGTATGAATAAGAGTGGAATTGTCATTCTGCAAGTTCCCTGAATATGTTTGACTTTTCTAAAGCGTCAATTATTTGAGGACGGATATATTTCTAAACAGTTGAAAAAAAGAAAAATACTCCCTCTGTCCCATTGGACATTGCTTACTTTGATTTAATTGTGGTATAAGAAAAAGTAGAAATTGTGTGGTTAAGATTTGTTCGAAGGAGAGAGAAATAAGGAGAACCACAAATTCATTAGTTTAAAAGGAAAGTGACAAAGTTTTTAGTACAAACAAAGAAGAAAAGTTGCCAAAGTTCAATGGGATAGAGAGAGTGTCTATTAGTAGACCATGCTTGAGGTGTTGTAGGTCATGGTGAGTTGATGATGACTTGTAAGTTGCAATTAATGTGGAAAGGGGATTTTACTGTGGACTCTTATCTGAGTAGTTAGTGTCAATTTTTATTGCAATATCAGATATGGGATGACATTCACTCAGGCAAAGTAGAGGAAAATAGTGCTCTTCTTTTGAGATTCATAATTATATCATTTGCGGACTTGAAGAAGTTCCACTTCCACTATTGGCTTGCTTACCCTGCTCTTATTATTGATCCTCCTGCAACATTTGTTGATTTGAGGCAAGCTTCACATTGCTTCACTCCCGAACAGGTTCTGTTTTTTTGGATACATTTCACATTATGATAGCCTGTTTGGTAGGAGTTATTCAGCTTAATTGGCTTAATTTTTTTGAAGCATTTGGTAAAATCCATTTCAGTCACATAGGCAAGTCAAAAGTAGACCTATACAGAAGTGGGCTTGGGCCAGGCTTTTCACTATTTTCCTGCTCAGGTGGCGGTACAGGCTCAGCCCGCAATAAAAGGCCCATCTAACATGACCATACCTGCCCATAAGAACGGCATGGACAGTCCTCTTAGCTGCCTGACCCGGCATGCTATAATTTTTCAGAATTATTCAAACAATTAAAAACAAATTTAAGATAACTTTATCACATTCTAAAAGTAATCAACGAGGTGACTAATGTAAATATGTCCTTCACCACACACACACACACAAAAGGCTTAAAACAAAAATAATCATTCAAAACAATAACTAAAATGTAAATATGCCACTACTCTTTTTTTTTATCTTGAGCTTAATGCTACTGATTAATTAATAGTTAGTTTGTTAGACAGACTAATAGATAGTCGGCTATGTTTGTTAGTCTATTCAATATTATTGTTGACTTTGTTGAGTTAGTTTGAGCTGAGCTTTGTATGACCTGGCCAGTCTATAAATACTTTGTATCTTCTTTCACAATCAATAAGATCAGTTTATCTCTCTTCTCATATCTTTTCTAATATGGTATCAGAGCACTGCTCGATCCATTAATGGCGATCACCGAAACTACAGATTCCACCTCCAGTTCTTCTTCCATCACCAAAACAACTCCAATAATCTTTACGCATCCTCTTCCAGTAAAATTAGACTCCAACAATTTCCTTTTCTGGAAGCACCATGTCGAATCAGTTGTTCGTGCTCACAAACTACTTCCATATCTGATAAAACCTAAAATTCCGGTTCGATTTCTTAGTCGCGAAGATGAATCCAATGGAGTCGAGAACGAAGCATACATCAACTGGGAACAACAAGATCAGATGCTCTTTTCATGGCTTCTGGCGTCTCTATCTGAAACTTTTCATGCCAGAGTCATTCACTGCAGGCATTCGCATCAACTATGGACTGAAATAACGAAGTATTTTCACTCGCACATCATCGCAAAGGCAAGACAACTTAAATCCGAGCTCTATAACACTGTCAAAGGTGATCGATCGATCTCAGCTTATCTTCTACGCATACAAACTATTGTTGATAACCTAACTTCTATCGGAGAACCTATTTCTGCAAAAGATCATGTGAATGTTATTCTCGAAGGTCTCCCTGAGGAATATGAATCTCTAGCTTCATCTATATCCTCTAGAAGTGTTCTAGATCCTGTTACTCTCTCTGAAGTTGAGTCTCTCTTATCTGCAAAAGAAATGCGTCTGCAAAAACTTCGTGATTCCTCACAACAAGCATTGTTCTCTGCTAACATTGCTCGGCTTGAAGTATCCCCTCAGAATACTGCTCCAGTATCTCAAGCTCCTTCAGATAATGCTTCAGTTCAAGTTGCTCAGTACAACAACTCGGAAAATCATTCTTATCGAGGCAGAGGTCGTGGAAATTCTGGCAGAGGCCGTGGTGGTGGTCGTTTTGGTGGAAGAAATCTGGTTGTTTGCCAAGTCTGTGGCAAAAATGGACATCATGCCCTTATATGTTACCATCGATATGATCCAGCGTATACTGCACCTGCACCAAATCCTCAATACTCACAGTATCCAAATCCATCACCCAATTCATCATCACAAAGATCAACTTCCCACATTCCTCATCCTACTGGTCCAAATCATCTTACTCCACCTCCACAACCTTTCAACTGGAACCAACAATCCTTTAACCCTTCAGCCTATAATCCTGCACCCTATAATAACCCTCTCAATGCTCCAACCTACATTCCTGCACCCTATCATACCTCATCTAATCCCTCACCAAGTGCTGCTTGGGCCTGTGCTACTCCATCTGTCCTAGGACCTGCACCACAATCTCAAAGCTGGTTCCCGGATTCTGGTGCCACGCATCATGTGACAGCTGATCCCCTCAACCTTCAATGTAGTGAGACTCTTACTACTACTGATAAACTCTTCATGGGTGATGGTCAAGGTGTGGATATTAAGTCTATAGGTTCTTCTATTTTTCCTTCACCATACCATTCATCTATGCATCTCTCACTTAATAACATTCTTCATGTTCCCACTATCACTAAAAATCTCTTAAGTGTCAGTCAATTTGCAAAAGATAACCATGTTTTCTTTGAGTTTCATCCTTATGATTGTTTTGTCAAATATCAGGTTTCTAAGCAAGTCCTTTTACATGGTTCCCTTGGAGAAGATGGTCTCTACAAGTTTCAGTCAATTCCTCTACACTCACATTCATCAGTTGCACCAGTCCAATCTGCCAATGTTTCAACATTACATAGTCTTTCTTTAAATACTTGTAATAACTCCAAGTCTTGTAATGTTTCTCAAACATGTAATCTGTGGCATCTTAAACTAGGCCACCCTCATCTTGAGGCTTTGAAATCTGTTCTTCAACTTTGTAATATTCCATATATCAATAAAGATAATGTTGATTTTTGTTCAGCATGTTGTCTTGGTAAGGCTCACAGATTACCATCATCTGCTTCTACCACCATTTTCAATTCACCTTTTGATCTTGTGTTTACTGATTTGTGGGGACCTGCCCCTATCACTTCCTTTGATGGCTATACTTACTACATTTCATTCATAGATGCATGTACAAGATACACATGGATCTATTTCTTAATCAGTTTTCTGTCTCTATTAAATCCATACAATCTGACTGGAAAGGTGAGTTTAGATCCTTCACCAAACTGCTTTCTGAAAAAGGAATCATTCACAGACTCATCTGTCCTCATACACACCATCAAAATGGTGTTGTTGAGCGTAAACATAGAACAATAGTGGAAAAAGGACTATCCCTTCTTGCTCATTCATCTCTTCCTTTAAAATTCTGGGATGCAGCCTTTGCTACTTCTGTCCATCTGAGCAACAGAACTCCTTCCAAATCAGTTTCCAACTCAATCCCATATTTCAAATTGTATGGCTCTCTCCCAGATTATTCCTTCTTAAAAGTGTTTGGTTGCTCTTGTTACCCCTTTATACGCCCTTATAATAAACATAAACTTAATTTTCATTCTGAGGAATGTGTCTTTCTAGGCTATTCCTCAAACCATAAAGGGTACAAGTGTCTGTCACCTTCAGGCAAGATATCTCTCTCTAAAGATGTCATATTTCATGAATCTAAATTTCCCTACAATACACTCTTCTCTTCCTCTTCCTCTACAGAGCAATTAACTGCATCCATCCCTATTTCTGTACCTTTAACCATTCTTCATGACTCTACCTCATCATCTTTCATAAATCCACCTTCCACCTCTTCAGATCAATCTTCCTCTTCATCTACTTCATCCAAAACTGACTCATCCCATTCTGTTTCACACCAGCCAGTCTCTTCTCACTCTAAGAATCATGAATTCTCATCACAGTCTTCTTTTTCTCCTCCTCCTGGTGCAACCTCAATTCACAATGAGTCTCACTCATCCTCTCCATCTAATGCTCCATTAGTCCCTGAAACTAACACTCATCCCATGAGAACTAGAGCCAAGTCTGGAATAGTGAAATCTAGGCTTAATCCCACCTTACTGTTAGCACATGTTGAGCCAAAATCAGTTAAGCAAGCTCTCTCTTCACCTGAATGGTTTGAGGCCATGAAAACTGAATATGATGCTCTAATATCTAACAATACTTGGACTCTTGTGCCTCTACCTCCAGACAAGCAAGCAATTGGGTGTAAATGGGTCTACAGAATAAAGGAAAATTCAGATGGCTCTTTAAATAAGTATAAGGCCAGGCTGGTGGCTAAAGGTTTTCACCAAAAGTTTGGCTTTGATTTTGGAGAAACCTTCTCTCCAGTAGTGAAGCCCATCACTATCAGAATTCTTCTTACCATTGCTATATCCAATCACTGGCCTATCCAGCAGCTTGATGTGAACAATGCATTCCTGAATGGAGTACTTGATGAAGAAGTATACATGATCCAACCCCCAGGCTTTCAGGTTCAGGACACTTCATTGGTTTGTAAGCTTCATAAGTCCCTATATGGTCTCAAACAAGCTCCAAGAGCTTGGTTTCTTAAGCTTACTTCAGTCCTATATGCTGCTGGTTTCAAGCAAAGCAAGTGTGATCCATCTTTGCTCTTCTTTCTCTCATCTGGAGTTCAGATGTACATATTGATATATGTTGATGATATCTTAGTCATTGGAAACAACTCCACTGCTGTTGCTCAGCTCATTCAGAAATTGGATTCATCTTTTTCTCTTAAACATCTTGGAGATTTAGATTTCTTTTTAGGAATAGAAGCACGCAAACTTCCTGATGGAAGTCTTCATCTCTCTCAGGCCAAATACATAAGAGATCTTCTAAATCAGACTGGTATGCTTGAATCCAAAGGAACAAAAACACCCATGGTCAGCACTTGTAAACTCACCAATGAAGGCAGCAACTATCAACCTAATCCTTCTTCCTACAGGTCTATAGTTGGAGTTCTGCAATATGCCACTCTCACTAGACCTGAAATATGTTTTGCTGTTAATAAAGTTTGCCAATTTATGGCCACACCACAGGAGGAACACTGGCAGGCAGTAAAGCATATCCTACGCTATCTTTCTGGCACTATAACTCATGGGCTTATCATCAAACCTCTACCCTTGTCATCCATGCCTCTTCCCCTTTCAGCATTCTGTGATGCTGATTGGGCATCAGATCCCACAGACAGAAAGTCAACCTCAGGCTCTTGCATCTTTCTTGGATCCAACATTATTTCCTGGTGGTCCAGAAAACAAATTCGTGTTGCAAGATCCTCTGCAGAAGCAGAATATAGAAGTCTAGCAGACACTGCAGCAGAGCTTCTATGGATACAGTTTCTGCTAAAAGAACTTCAAGTCCAATTTACTATTCCCAGAGTTTATTGTGACAATCTCAGCACTGTTCAGCTTGCTCATAATCCTGTTCTACACTCTAGAATTAAACATATGGAGATTGACCTTTTCTTTGTAAGAGAAAAGGTGCATCTAAAACAGCTTGAAGTATTTCACATTCCTGCACTACATCAACTGGCTGATATATACTGACCAAGCCACTGTCTGCCTCTAGATTTCTGGAACTGAAGAACAAACTTAGTGTGATTGATTTCAGTCCTCAATCACCCTAATTTTGAGGGGGGAATGTTAGACAGACTAATAGATAGTCGGTTATGTTTGTTAGTCTATTCAGTATTATTGTTGACTTTGTTGAGTTAGTTTGAGCTGAGCTTTGTATGACCTGGCCAGTCTATAAATACTTTGTATCTTCTTTCACAATCAATAAGATCAGTTTATCTCTCTTCTCATATCTTTTCTAATAGTTACGGTGTAATATCCTTAAGTGCAAGAATATATGTTATATTGGGTTGGGCTATTAGCGTACGAGTTAAAAAATAAAGACTAATAGTTAAACATAATAGGCCATAAATGCATATATATATATATATATATATATATATATATATATATATATATATATATATATATATATATATATATATATAACACAGTGAGCCATATATACACACCCACACCCACACACACATATATAGTTTGGATCAAATAAAAAAGGTCTTAACGTGTAAAATAGGAATTAATTTAGCCGTTCAAACTGTCAATTTGATGCACAATAATCCTATCTAATGCACTTTCGAAGAAATCTTATCTGATGCACTTTTTGAACATTGCATCAGATAAGGTTTCTTCGAAAGTGCATTAGATTGAGTTATTGTGCATCAGATTGACAGTTTTGATAATTGAGATTAATTCTTATTTACACGTTAAGGCTCATTTATATTTGAACCCTCCCCTATTTTTTTTGACAGAACTGAAGTTTTATTAAGAAAAACAAAACAAAAGGATTACAAATGAAAAAGAAGAAAGAAAACCACATGAGATTTATAATCAAATTGGAATCATGCTTAACGTGAGAACTGTGAGAACACTACTTTTAATGCACAATAACGGTTGTATGTTACACCAAATTTATTTTGTCAACACCATATTTATTTGATTACGAATTTGCCACCGTATTTATTTGATGTTCTCATATTTTAAAAAGTGTAATGTACAAACGTTATAGTGTATCGCCTTGAATTAAAAGTTGTGTTCTCATGGTTCTCATGTGAAGCATGGTTCTCATTAGGAGCACACCCTATATATACACATATATTTGTGTGTTTATTAAACGTACCTGGCTGGATTTTTAGCTCGAATGGGCCTACACCTTGTCCCAAACCCACCCATATATTTTAGGAGCCTGACTTTCCCTGACCTGATGGGTAAGTACATGTGTCCAAACCTGCCCGTTTCTAAGGGCGGGCGAATGAGCAGGTCCGTATTGGTACAGGTCTAGTAAAAAACTACCTATTCCGATTGATAATTGTAGAACAACTCTCCGATGTTTATTATTTCTTGTTTTGGGTTTAGGCTCAATGCTTGTCAGCAGCTTGCAATGATTGGCGTAACACAAGTTCCACAACAGGTATAACTAGTTTTGCATTAATGCTCAATACTGCCTGTACTACTGTCACTATCATTACTTAATACTAAAGAATGATCTCATTGCAGATGTTCCGTTTTTTCTGGTGTCTATTGCGTCTCATTCTAATATTACTCTAAGACATCTGAGAGATTGGGAAGCTTGTAAAAGTGAGGGAAATGAGGTCTGCCCATATTCCATAGTATCTCTGCCTTAAAAGTGTTTAATACTCCATAATACATTATGAGGTAGATAAAACTTCAGAGTGTCACTAGCTTTTGTGAAATGATTATACACATCTAGCCATTGTTAGGTTTTTTGCATAGAGGGGAAAGAATTTTCCATAGAGGGGGAAGAAAAAATTGGAGAGGAAACTAAGGAGAGAGTCGAAAGAAAGAGGAGTGATGTAAAATAAGGGAAGGGAAATTACAATTTAAATATATTTTCTCTCTTGATCTTGTATTTAAATCTAAACAAGTTGAAATAGATTGTAGTTACATCTATTTGATCTCCCCCTTCTTTTTTTCATTTCTTCCATTTTTTCATTCAAACAGTGCATTGATAAAGCAGGATTCAAATGCTACCAGTGATTTTTTAGATGGCAGTGTCTTTAATAGAATTTTCTATATGTGCCAGGTTCTTTTTGGGTTTTATGACCCATGTAACCATCCAAGTAATCCTGGCTGGCCATTGCGAAATTATCTTGCATATATTTCTGCAAGGTGGGGTCTTGAAAATGTTAAATTTTTCTGCTACAGAGAGAGCCGTGGATTTCCAGATATGGGAATGTCCCTTGTCGGAGAAGCATTGATATCTGTTTCCCAAGGTAACAAAAGAAACTGGTTACAAGCATTGATATCAGTTTTGATTTTAGGTCTGTTTACGACTTGGGAAATGCTAGGGAAAGGAAATAAGAAGAAAATTGAAAGGAAAATTAGGAAGAAATAAAAATTGGGAAAATTATTAAAAGTTCTTGAAATTAATAAAACAATCATAGATATTTTTTCAAACCTATTTTGTTTAAGGAGGTGCTTGGTGAATAAAAAGGCTTGGGATATGGTGTGAGTGTAATCGTGGAGATGAATGGGAATGGGACACTTTGATTTCCAACTCTTTGGGGGTTAGTGCATTTTCCCGTAAGTGGGGAGTCGAAGTTGCTACTTCCCTAAAATTTAAGAAGAAACCAGGTGTTCTCATTCCACTCCTCTCGAGCACTTTCAACGAAGCATTCTATTGTATAAAAACTGATAAATCTTAATAAAAGTGTTACTTTAAAAAAGGTCTGATCAAGTTTTATTTCTTTTCATATATTCAGTTAATGACACAGTTAAATAACATTTTTCTTAGTATATTTTCCGTTTCCAGATCATTTTCTGAGTTCCAAAATAGCCTTGGTGTTTATTTTTAATTTTTGTGTTTTCAAACATGTGGCTCTAGGATGGAAAGATTGTCAAAATATTCCTAAAGTTGTCGGATGGGAGACAAACAAGGGGAAGATGGCTTCAAGATGTATTAGTCTGGCTGAAACTATGGATCCAACTAGGTATGCTAAAATAATCTCTCAAATGTCATTCTAACTAAACTTGGATTGTATGTCATCTGGTAATTATGCTCTCTTTTTTCACACATTCCCAGGCTGGCGATTTCTGCTGCAGATTTGAACTTAAAATTGATGAGGTGGCGTGCGTTACCTTCGCTGAATCTTAACTTATTGTCTGCTACTAAGTGTCTTCTATTGGGAGCAGGTACACTTGGATGCCAAGTTGCTAGAATGCTTATGGTGAGCATACGCAGAGTGTGGATAGTTTGGGTACCCTATTCCTGTAAGGCCATATTGAGGAAGTTTTTTTTATGTGTTTTTTGTTCTGCAGGCATGGGGTGTTCGAAAAATTACAATGCTTGACAGTGGAAAAGTCACAATGTCAAATCCTTTAAGGCAATCACTTTATATACTAGATGATTGCTTGAGTGGGGGTAAATTCAAGGCAGAAGCTGCTGCTGAAAGTCTCAAGCGAATATTTCCAGCCGTGGTAATCAAATCTTCTCCATATAATTTTACCATATGGTGTGATTGGGTCACGAAGAGTAACAGTGAAAACAATGAAAAGAAGATGTTAAGGAAAGTTATTTTCTCATGTTTGGTTTTACCGTGAGAAAACGAAACGAAATATGCTTGGTTTTGTTTTATTTTTTATTCTTTACATAAATGTAGATTTCTTAGTCTTTACATAATATATATGTTACGTTAAACAATAAAATGAGTATCAACATATATCTGAAATGAATCAATTGACTTTTAGCAAATTGTTTAATTTCCCCACATATTGTCTTTCCTTCTTATTATCTTCTATGGCTGCCTTCCTATTTTGTTTCCCTTAATTTTATGGATTCCAAACAGACCTTGGAGTATGATAGGATCCTGTAAAATGCTAGGGAAGGAAATAAAACACTAGCAAAGTTGTTTTCTTGTTTTTGGTTTTACACTTTTGCATCAGATATGCAAAGCAAAACTAAATATTTTAGTGTTATTGAAACTTACTTTTTATTTTTCTAGTGTTTATATATATAATTTAAATGAACAACTAAAACGAGTTTGAGCATATGTAAAAAATGAATTTATTGAGTTTGAACCAATGTTTTAGTTCCCCGCACATTTTCATTTCTAAATTTTCCTCAAACTTCTCTCTCTAGTACTTTCCTGATCTTTTTCCAAATTTCAAAAAGATTCTCGGTATCTTCTCCCTCATCTTTTTTTTTTATAATCTATTTATCTTATCTTTTTTATCTTTCCCATCTTATCTTTTCTGTCTTTATCTTATGTTTATCTTTTCAAGTCATCTTTATCTTATCTTTTTTTTTTATATATTTTTGGTGTTATCTTTTATTTTTTAGCTCCAATTTCATATATTAATTCATGTTAGATTGTTAGCCGACCCCAAATTCTTCAGGGACTAAGGCCTGGATGCTGTTGTTGTATCATTTGCTTCTCAGGAAGCAGGTAGTGTTGTGATGGATATTCCAATGCCAGGTCATTCAGTGCCAAAAGAAGAAGAGCACAATGTACTTGAGGACTGTACACGCTTGCAGGGTTTGATTTCTTCTCATGATGTTATCTTTTTACTGACTGATACTCGAGAAAGTCGGTGGCTTCCAAGTCTACTTTGTGCCACCGCCAACAAGGTTTGTTGCTGATCTTTTCTCTTGTCAGGATTCTGTGTTAGAAGTTTTTTTCCACTATTTCTATGAGCTTGTTTGCAACTAATAGCCCGTTTCAAATGCTTAAAATGGTTGAAGTGATTGTGATTGCTGAAGTTGTGAATGAAATAACTGAACTTGTTCAATATGGTAATTTATCTAAAGACGAAATGCTGTTTGGAAGTATTTTAAATGAATTACAGAAAATCCTTATTTGCCAATTTCATCCATTTCAGCGATTTGCGACATCATTATTTGTAAAGTTTGCAATCTTATACTAGTACTACCCACACCCTATATTAAACTTCATTTTGCGGTTTATGATGAGTAGCTGGTGATATTCCCTAACAACACATAAACTACTGTTAGTTACTCCTATTACATTACATATTTGGAAATTAAACTACAAGTTTTATTGAATCACCAAAATGATTGAAAACCAAAACGTTTGGTGCATAAATTTAGAGATTAAAAGGACAGAGAACGTAATACATAATGGAGTATAAGCCAATGTTAATTTGAAAACAATTGCAGAGATGCTTGAAACTCATATTAGCTAAGTTGCATGGGGTGGTTCATTGGTTCATCTGTATATTCTGTGTGGTTTGTCTGCAGATAACTATTACTGCAGCGCTAGGTTTCGATAGCTTCCTTGTCATGCGCCATGGAGCCGGTCCCATGAGCACTATGCAAGATTTAAAAGAAGAAACTCATCAAAGTTGCCTTGCTGATGTGAAGAAGCTTTCACTTAGCGACACAATCGGGAGCAGGGAGAGATTGGGGTGTTACTTTTGTAATGATGTTGTTGCGCCTGTTGATGTAATTACTACTCCAAAAATAAAATAATTGTAGTCCGGATTTCTCATTAATATTTTTGCATTTGGGCATAGTAACAACGCTTTGTTTTTGGTGTGTAGTCAACTGCCAACCGTACTTTGGACCAACAGTGCACAGTTACTCGTCCTGGGCTTGCTCCTATTGCATCTGCCCTTGCTGTTGAGCTTATGGTGGGCATATTGCATCATCCGTGTGGGTAATTCCTTCTAATTCTCACAAAGCTTCTCTCTTTTCGTTCTCCTTTATCTTAAACTCCCCGTGGTTCACAACAAATAGTCGTTTATTAAGTGAAAATGTTTTCTTTCAGGGTACATATTGTTTTATAAAAGCCAAGTCAGTATTTTATTACTTTCTTTTAGACCCCATCAGCAGAATTAATGATGTTCATAAGGGGAAATAACTTCTTAAATTTCTCCAAACATGGAAACACCTTTGACAGGATATATGCCAAAGCTGAATTTGAGAATTCTTGTAATACCGGGAGTAGTGAGGAGCAACCTCTGGGCATACTGCCTCATCAGATCCGCGGCTCCTTGTCTCAATTTTCACAGATGTCTCTTGTGGGCCATGCTTCTTCCACTTGTACAGGATGCTGCTCCAAGGTGAGTTTTCGGTATTCAGTGCATATAATCTTAGTTATCAACTCTACAAAATCCTGGAAAGCAATGTATATTTTTCTATATCGTCAACGCTTTTCTATTTGTCATAATCTCTTTGGGTTTTATAGCTCTACTTACTACGTAGTATTTCTTTGTTTAAATCAAACACAAAAACTGGAGAGTACACTTATTTGCAAAATTTAGAAAGTGAATTGGAGCTGGTTCAAAATGCGTTAAGAATTCATGTCTTTTATTTAACTTTTATGAATGCATCAAATTTTAAACTATTACTACATATAAAGAAGTATGTAAGAAAGCGTTTTCATTTTAAACCAGTTGTGGAGGTTGTGAAGATTATAATAATGTGAGATGACAGGTTGTATCAGAATTCGAGAAGCAGGGGATGAATTTTGTTCTTGAAGCAATCAACCACCCCACATATCTGGAGGATGTAACTGGATTGACAGAGCTGATCAAGTCCGCTGGGTCTTTTGAACTAGACTGGGAAAATGAAACTGAAGACATCGATGCTGATTGTGTTGATGCATGATATCAAGTTGATGGTAGTGATGATATTTCTGCATTTTTTCTCTCATAAATCTACTCTATCCCTTATAGACGGCCTCCCAAATCCCAAGAAGGGGTGTTTGTAGATATTGCTTAGAGTTGGATAGGTTATGAAACCCAAGAGGCCAAGACTAGGTTTTGTTAGAGGTCAAACTGCCATATTTTTGTTTTAAACTATGATAATATAATGCTCAAAGCATACATACATATGTATGTATGTATGTATGTATGTATGTATGTATGTATGTATGTATGTATGTATGTATGTATGTATGTATGTATGTATGTATGTATGTATGTATGTATGTATGTATGTATGTATGTATGTGAGACATAGAACCTGATATGTATTACCTTTGTGAAGTATGCATATAAAACCTTTTCGAGGGAGTCATAATATTAGAAACTTGATCTTATTTTATGGATATTGGAAGCACAAACTAATTGATACACAAGTTGTGCACATAAATAATGATGATGATAAAATCCCAAACATCGAGTATAATAATCTTAAAGAAGCTAAGCTACTCGAATATTGCGAAGTAAAAAGAATGTCCTAGTTTGATTTCGCACATATTAAGGAAATGAATTTGACTTTACACTGAGGGGACACTGTTTGATATAAGTTTGCTTACCAAATAAGGAAGATAAAGAAGTAGGACTTTAATTTAGGGACTTCCATTTTGAGAAAGTAGGACATTGTTTCAGGGATGGAGGGAGTACAAATTTTGGCTCTATTAAAATTGCCTACTCCCTCTGTCCCGTATAAAGCTTCTGACGTAGTTTACGATGTTTGACAGACTATTAAGTTAAATGGTCATGTCCGTAATAGGATTATTTTTAGTTAATAAAATTTACATATTCAGAAACTACATTAAAAGTTTATAATGTCGCAAAAAAGATTCAAATTTGATAATAGTTTGATATGTAAAGTACACCTCCCCGTCCCTTCAATTTTTGTCAACTTTTCCTTTTTAGTTGTCCCACTAATTTTGTTACTTTTTCTTTTAAGTAAATAATTTGTGGTTCCATTTAATTCTTTCTCCTCTACACAAATTTCAACCGCACCATCTTATTTTATTAATTCTCGTGCCAAACAAATTTGGCCAAGTTTTAATAGACAAAGGGAGTGAAAGATTAAGAGCATGTTTTGTGACCGTGTTTTTTTGACTTAATTAGGCTCGTCAGTCAACTTTTCACCAAACATGTATTTTTTAATTTTCATGTGCTGAATTGTGTAATAAAAAAAAAGCAAGGTTGGAGTCGTTATTTTGGCTGTATTGATTGAAGGTAATTTAAATGATCATTTTAGCCGTTTTAATACTCTATATAATTTTTTCTTTATTTTTTTTAATAAAATATATTTAAATACTTCCTTCGTTCTTTAGTAGTTGCAACATTGTGAATTTTTCACTTTTTACCCACCTTACTTTGACCATGATTTTCTACTAGTATATATAATCAAATTAGTATGTATAAAATGTTATTAAATTTTTATTAATGTGAATTTCCAAATATTAACTGTTTATAATTTTGACTAATGCGTAATTAAATATAATTACAGTCAACGTTGTGTATTGGCAAACGTCAAAGTCAAATTGTTACAACTACTAAAGAACGGAACGGATGATAGTATATTTTATTTATAAATCAACAGAATTAGCCGATCCAGACACTTCAGCCATAACTTAATAAATTTCAATATAATTGGTCAATACAGTCGATTTGGGTAATGTCAAACGGGCTTTAGAAAGACTTTACGTTGATCGGAGAATAGTGAACGAAAATGTTGAATGAGACGGTGATAATACAAGTTATGAATGATTCAATATCATTATGTCGGCTTATTTGAGCAACAGTGATGAGGAAAAACCCACAAAATATATCATTGTAATAAGATAAATGTTATGCGTGAAATAAATTGTTAAAATTTTGATTTTTAAACATATGAAGAAAATATAGTTCATGGTTCTCCATTTTTTCCCTCTAATTAAATTTACAACTTTAAAACCAAATTGTGCTAAACCTTTAACTAGATTCTCCAAATGTTGTGGTATCCAATTTTCACTTTTTATTTATTTATATATTTATTTCGTTTTGTTCAATATAGGTTTTTATAGTTTCACGTTCAACTATAATTATTTTATGACTTAAATACACTTTTTGCCTGTAAATATGACATACTTTATTATAGGTTCCTATACTTTTTTCATTCATGTAATATGAACTATTTTGTTTCTAGTCTATTTCTAACTCCGAAACTACTCTACTTAGAAAAAAATTATTGTTGGTTGCATAAATCTACTAGAATTTTTTAAATTTATGCATCTATAATTTTTTTACATTAATATGAGACTTAAAAAAATGTAAACTAATTACCCACATTTTAAAATGTGTATTAAAAACATTTTAAAAAATAAAATCAAATACCTTTTGAATAATATGACAATGAATTAAAGGATATTATGTTTAACGCGAAAAAATGCAACAGACCATCATATTGGGGTAAATATGAGTGTTCTCATGTTTGGTTAAACATTGTTATCATTTGATCTCGAATACGTATGTATGTGCGCGCGCGTGTGAGTATGTGGGTGCGCTTGCACGTGTTTCAAACATATGTTATATTACCTCCGCCCCACTATGATTGTCCTATTTTACCATTTCGGTCCGTCTCACTAAGATTGTCTCATACCTTATTTAGTAAAGTTTGTGTGGCCAAATCATTCTTACTTTATTCTTACTTTATCAATTCAATATCAACCGCATAAACCACTTTTTATAGATTTGTGTACCACTCCATCTTGTCCCATTGTTAGTGGGACGGAGCGAGTAAGAGACTATATATATGTGAGTTAATAATTTTTGTTTAATGCATGCATAAATTACTAGTAGTTACCCGTGTAAAATTACTATTAAATGATAAGAGTTAGTAGTTGAATATTGCCTTTATTTTATCTAAATATATTGTTATGTTAATCCCAATTAAGGAGGGTCTACCACTCTACCCGACCCATTACCGAGATCCGTTGTATCCGGGTTTGGGTTTTTTATTAGGGGCACACCGAGTAATGAGTCTAGGTATGAGTCACAAATAAATTAAGGGAAAATAGGTATTATTAATCCCAACTATACCCGATTCGCTTTTAATAATCCCTATTATTGTTTATTTCCCTATACTCCCAACTTCCCCCACCCTTTTCCAATAATAGACCCCAACACTTGAGACCGGTACAACCGGTAAACGCTTCATTTAAACAAACGGGTACACCGCACCTAACCCGTTAACTACCCCTCCACAGTTAAACCTTATCCACGGCTGGCCTCTGCTATCCAACCAACCTATCTTCTCGTATGAATATGGCTTCCTTTGCAGCTGGAGATTAACCGTTCGAAGCAACACCTTCCTCCGGCCATAAGAAACAGTACTATACTTGAAAACCCTAAATTTTGGTTTGTGTTATGTTAGTGACTTCCCAAAAGCCTAATAAACTGGGTGTGGCAGATTTGTGGGACACATTCTTATATGATTGGTGTTCATATAATTGTAGGTTATACTTGACAATTTGCATTTGAGATGGTTTCTTCAACTATTATTACAATTAAGATGTGGCATGGAGGTATATTTAAGAAGAATAGTCATAACATGTTAGAAAATGAAAAGGGGGAGTATAAATGCTTTGATATTGATGCTAATGAGTTGTGCTGGTTTTGGCTAGAAGAATTAGCGGGTAAATGTGGAAAATATAGTAGTATAGATGATATTTATTACTTGATTCCGAGAAAGAGTCTTGATAAGGGTTTAAGAAGGGTTAAATTAGATGATGAAGTGAGGGAAATGTATAAGGTTGTTATTGAATATAGAATTGTTGATTGCTATATAAGACATGGTTTAAGCTCACCTGAATTGGTACTATTACTTGAGGGTTCTAGAGATAATGCAGGGGGAGTACTGACCCAGGTGGTAAGGCACCACAAACTTACAGTTCACAACAGTCCCAACACCATTCTTACACAACAAATGAAGATGTACAAGATGGTGAGTCTATTGGTGATTAAAGTTCTGAAAGTTCAGAGGATGTTGAAGGTGAAGATGCTGAGGACTTAGAGGTCCCACTAGTCGGCTCTGATGAGGATACCAGTGATGAAGAGTTTAGAGAGTCTAGAAGAAGAGTAAGTGGTTGGAATTCTAAGATCCTTGAGATAGCCAAACAACTTCAAAAGGCCGCAGCTGCAACAAATGTTGAAGGTAAGACACCCTCAAATACAACAGGGGAGGAGGAAGAAAATGTAGGTGAATGTGTGAGTGACTATGAGGACTCAGCTGAAGAAATCCACACACCCCCGAGACTGAAGAAGATGACATTGTATTAAGAAGAGAGACAGAGTTGCAGTAGTAGATGCCAATACTGATTTCAAAGAACTGGTTTGGAAAGCTGGCATAAAATTTGAAAACAGGGATAAATTTAAAGATGCAGTAGCCAGATTTGCAATAGCCCAAGGTAGGAATATGAAGATAAATGTTAGCCACAAGAAAAGACAACAAAGGATTGGTGCAAGATGTGTTGAAGGCTGCCCCTTTAGGTTATATGCAAGTTGGGATAGTAGAAGAGCTTGTTTTGTATTTAAAACTGTAAAAGGAGATCATAGTTGAGACAAAAACATGCAAAAAAATAGACAGTTAAAGTCACCCTGGGTAACACTTTAGTTTTTGGAAGTCTTCAAATCAAGACCACACTGGCCTTCAAAAGAAATTATGGAAACAATCAGGAGAGCTTACAAAGTGTTAGTCAAGAGGGATTTTTCATACAAAGTGAAATACCATGGCCATAGAAAGCTTCATGGGAGTATGGCAGAGCACTACAATAAGATTGGAAGATATTTGGAAGTTCTTACTCAAGCAAACCCCCTTAGCCACTTCAAGGCATTCACAGACCCAATGATCAAGAGTTTCCCTGCAACATTTCAGAGATTCTTTGTGTGCTTTCAAGGACTTAAAGATGGGTGGTTAAGTGGAGGCAGGAGTGTGTTGTGTGTAGATGGTTGTTTCATTAAAACTTTTCTGGGTGGGATGCTGTTATCTGCTATTGGGAGAGACTCCAATGACCAAATGTACCTAGTGGCTTGGGCTGTAGTTGAAGGTGAAAATAACTCAAGTTGGGAATGATTTTTCTGTGAACTTAAACAAACTTAGGCACTACTGATGGTGTTGATATGACATTCATTTCTGATGAACACCAGGTGAAGTTATGTGTGTGTGTGTTTAAATATGTACATATTAGTTATTTCAGAATGTTATTGTTTATTTGTTGTACCTAACATTTCAATTGACTTCTGACAGTCTATATTGCGTGGAGTGCAAAAAGTATTTCCAATGGCTGAGCACAGACATTGTGTCAGACATGTGTTTGCCAACTGGCACAAAACTAACAAAGGAGAAGAGCTAAAAA